CTATGCACACACTTAACCCTTTGAGCAAACCGGGACAACACACAGCACTGACCTGTAGACAACTAAAGCCCCACCTGGACAGCCAGCCAGCCTGGAGACATCAACCCTCAAACATGTCATGCGATGTTAACACCAAAGTCTCAAAATCCGGACCCAGCCAAGGCCACTCCCTACCACCACCATCCATACTACTCATCTATACAATCCAATTAGCCCTCTCAACCAAGGGCCTCTTTGAATTAGAAGCATCTGGCAGAAAAGAACTTAGTTGCCATCCTGCTCATCCCACTGACAAGCCAATGTGGGCAGGCCTCTCCTCTGCTTAAACCCTTCTGAGGTTCCCCAGAACGCTAGCACAACCAAAAGACACACAAGTAGCTTCAGGTTCAACTGCTGATGACTGATGCTACTCTCCGTTTAGGGGAGCTCATACATGGTCATCACAGAAAAGAAAAAGTGACTCCAAAAAGTGGAAAGCACCAAAGGGGATTCTGGCCTTTCAACCCCAGCACTGTGATGAAAGCAGCAGGCTCACCATCACCATCACCTTCATCATTCCTGAGAGGGGTGCCCTCCACCCCACTCTCAAGTGGCCTGTGCTAGGTCTGCCCAGCCATTCAGCCAGCCCGGATCCTAGGAAAGCCAGGGGCCTCCATGCTTTCCAGGAAGAAGCCCTATCTAGATGCAATCTGATTCCTACTTTCTACCTTAAGGAATAATCAGGGAGATGATCGGACCAGCAGGAAAAAAGCCCTCAGGAGCTGGCAGACGGAGTGAAAGGAAGACAAGTACAACACCCACTGAATACTTAGACCCCTTTCTTTTGCCAAAAAGAGCTAGAAAAAATGGTGACTATTTTTCTGATGTGTTTCATGTGAGGACCAGGATACCCCATCCACTGTTTGCAAGTCCTTTCTCCCCATAGGCCTACTCTCCACGCCTGGGTCAAGTCTGACTTCACAGGGGCCAAAAATGGATTTTCCTACAATTTTACATTAGCAATGTCCAAGCATCTGACAAGCAGCTGGCCTCAGACCATCCAGGAGAATTCAAAATCCCTATCTCACAAAGAAGGGAAACCGACTAGGCCAACTCACATGGCCTTACCTCAAAGAGATTCAGGGGAGCCCAGGCTGACCATGAACCCCTCAGACCTGTTTCATTCCAAGGATCCCAAACTCAAGGGGCCATGTACAGTCTTTATAAGCAGGGGCATTTGCTTTATTTTGTTTTTAATCTTATTTATATAGTTAAAACAGATCGTATGTTCACAAAGAAAGAAAATTCTAAAACTACAAAAGCAAAAAACTTCCTTTCCAGCTACCCTGCCCTTTCCCAAGGGACAGCCAATATTTATCAATTTTTCTGTAGCTTTCCAAAGATGTTCTATGCCTGTACAAGCAGACAGATATGTTCATTTTCCTTTTTTGTGTGTGTGTGTGTGCATTTGGTCATACATTACGCACTTCTCTATCACCAATGCAGAGCAAATGTTCACAGAGCACACACAGACCAAAAACAAAGATCAAGAATCAGCTGTCAAGCTCCTCAGAGGGAGTGAGTATTTGAACCTGTAGGCTCGGGACCATAGTCGCAGGGGACATCAAGCTCAATTGGCATAACATACTACACAAAACATTGTTCCACCTCCTACTTTGGCGAGTAGTGACTGGGATCTTAAAAGTTGCAAGCAGCCATCTAGATGCAACGAAAGGTCTCTCCTTGTCCAGAGCAAAGAAGAATGAAGAAAACCAATGATTCATGGAAACAATTAGTCCTCGTGACTGGTACACCATGCAAACCTCAGCCTATACAACTATGAGACCAGAAAAACTAGATGGTATCTGACTACCACTGTCAACCACTCATAGGGGGATCTATGTAGGAGATCCTGGATACAGAGGGACAGCAATGTGGAACAAGACTCAAAATCATAAAAAAAAAAAAAAAAGAGGGGGAAGAAGGGGGACCAGGTTTACTAGTCTGATAGAGCCTGATGGAACCACTGAGACTATAGCCCCTAGCTGCCCTTCAGGTCTGGAATTGAACCCACTCCTGTGGCTTCCACCCAAACAAAAGACAGGCATAGGAGCTAAACACTAACAGTAGGTAGATACACTCCTTGGAGAGAACAATCTTGGGAGAATAGAAGGGCTGTGTGTGCACAGGGAAACAGCTCAGGGGGCAGGAATGCATGAAGGGAAGGAGACAGGGAAGAGATAACTATGGGAGAGGAGCTGTTACATTGTGATAAATTATAGTCAATGTCATGAGACAAAATGTGTGTGGGCTGCTGTGTGGAAAGTGAATATGCTCTGTAAACTTTTACCCAAATCATAATTAAAAAAAAAAATCAGTTTATTGTTGATAGGCAACAAAACGATAATCAAACTATGGTACATACATACAACGGAATTCTATGCAACCCTAAGAAATAATGTAGAATCTGCAAAACACCGTATAAAGTGGACGAACTTGGAGGACATTATACTGAGTGAAATAAGTCAATCACAGAAGGACAAATATTGTATTAATCCACTAATGTGAAAAGTTAAGGAAAAGTTTTTATATGGAATGAAACTTTCTTTGTTGGTTACCAAGCGTGAGAGTAGAGGGGAGGGACACTGTTAGATAGGTAGAGACAAGTATTGATTTGGGTGAAGGGAAGGGCAATACAGCAAATGTAAGTGATCAACACAGCAGCATTGAGGAAGAGGAAGACACAGGTACATGGGAGATACAGACAACAAAGATGAACCCTTTTGTACATACAGTACTGTGCTGTCAGTGATAGCAAACACGGATCTACAGGTGGATAGATGAATGGACAGGCTGAACAATCAGGTATGTCTAGGCAGGGGGCAGTGTGCCCATGACCATATATAGGGTTGGCAGACAATGTTTCTATAAGTGTATCTGTATGTTCTGTAAGAATGTCCAGGTGTATAGTAGAGCTGACAAGGGACAAGGCTGTGGTGACTTCTTGGCCACAACCAGCTACCCGGAGGGAGCGAGTAGTTGGACCTGTTGGCTCAGGACCATGGTCCAAGGAGACATCAAGCTCAACTGGCATAACATACTACATAAAAACATTGTTCCACATCCTACTTTGGTGAGTAGTGACTGGGATCTTAAAAGCTTGCAAGCAGCCATCTAGATACAATGATGGGTCTCTCCTCATTCAGAGCAAAGAAGAATGAAGAAAACTAAAGACACGTGGTAACAATTAGTTCAAGGGACTGGTAGACCATGCGATCCTCAGCTCATATGACCATGAGACCAGAAGAACTAGATGGTTCTTGGCTACCACTGTCAACCACTCGGAGGGGGTCTGGGTAGGAGATCCTGGATAGAGCAGGAGAACAATGTGGAACAAAACTCAAAATTATTAAAAAAAAAAAAAAAAA